GAGAGAGAACTGTTGGGTCCAGAGACTGTTTGTTCAGCAGAGTCCAATAATTGCTTCAGCGTATTGCTTCTGACTTTGAGGACAGACCTTGATCTGAGTTTCCAGCTCTTAGCCAAGAGCTGCAGGGGAATCCACAGAGGAGTCTTCAGGTTTGGCTCACGAGGGCAAACACAGCAGGTTAAGCTCATCCAGAGCCTCAGGTAGAGACAGGATTCCTGTGAGGCAGAAAACAAGGAAGAATTAGAATCTTATCTCATCAAGAGATAGCAAAGATTCTCAGGTTTCAAGGCTCAGGTCGCTAACCAAACTAGGTCAACACTGCGGCGTCGAAGCAAGGTCTGGAAGCAGGTTAAATAGGGCTGGACTTCTGATGAGGAGATGCGCCACAGGTGTGTTGGAAGGTTCCAGCTCAGGAGAACCCACGGCGCACTCTGCTGGAGGAAGGTGGTACAGCTCCAGATCCCAACAGTTTGACTTGGAGCTGAATGATTTTTTGTTAATAAACTCTTATATTTTGAACAGACGTTGTGGTGAATTTATTCCATGTATGAGCAGAAATGACTGTTTGACCATGATTAGTGCTCGAATCACTCTTTCATTTATTGTTCTAACACACAGTTAGTAGGACTGTGTGTCATAAACAGTATATAACAGCTGAAATAATATCTGATTAAATAAGAAATTGAAAGTCCCAGATATGTGAGATTTAAAACAGTTTTTTTTTCTGTCAGTCTGCTCGATCCAGAACTCCTCAAGTGAAAAAGTGTTAGTTCCTGCCTGTCTAATTTAATAGAAAGTCTTCTTTAAGGAACCTTTGGCTATCTGATTATTAATGAATAATCAAACAAATAATGGACAGATTAATCAATTTGCAAAAGAATGGTTAGTTTCAGCACTAATAAAACCAAAGGAACTCCTAACAGGTGGAAGGGGAGCAGAAGGCAGTGGAGTGAAGTCTTGGACTAAGTCTGGTTGTGGTGTTTTTATGCTGCTGGGATAAATTGGATAAATGTTTGTATAAATATGAATCTTTTTGCCTTGATGTTTGTGTAAATAGTTTTGGAGCTGAAATAGTTTTGAATTGGCGTTATAAAAAATAAAGTTAATGAAACCAAACCAATCATGTTCCAGGCAGTTTATCTTTTCCTCCATCCAGCTGCAGTGAGGGGCCCCTCGAGGCTCTTATTTTGAAAGCGCTTGTGGGTTTTCCTGGGATTAATTGACGCGGCAGCCTCCGCTGACCCTCCGGATTGATGTGTTTCCATATGACCGGGCTGCATACACATGCTGCGGTCCCTCCAAGGAGCCAGACGCGGACCCTGACAGTGAGAGAGGAAGGAAAGACAGGGGCCAACTGCATAAAGCAGCGCCTCTCCAGCGGATCATACAGCGCTGAGGAGCAAACACAACCATGCGCCTTTGGGGGATCTGCGTGTTTCTAGCGTATCTGTTGTACTCTAACCTGGCCAGCGACTTCAGCCACACAGATTACTATGAGGAGCCCTCGGAGCTGGAGCCGATGGACCAGCCGGTGAGTCTTTTATCGCAGGACTAACTTGTTTGTCTGTGCGTAAAAGTTAGAGAGAGAGTCGGCCCACTGTGGACCCCCACGCTCCATCATGTGCCCACTCATAATCCGGGAGCGTTTCTGTGTGGAAGGAGAGGGAAGCTTTTCAGTTTCTGCTGATTTATAACTTAAACTCTGAGCTTCATTAAAACTGGAAACGGGTTGATTTAAAGCAGGTGATAAGAGAGAAAAAGCCTGTTTTCTAAAAGCAGATGCAGTCAGCTAAAGGAGCAGATAATCATCACAATGAGGTGGGTTCAGTGAAGTGATGCTGACAGGGATCATCTCTCAACTGTCCAAGAAGTCAGTAGGAGGAGGAACTGTGGCTATTTGGTGCTTTGAAAAAAATATCACCAGGAACCAAGAAAACAACAAAAACAAACAAGCTGATCCCTGATTTCATGTTAAAATTATACCTTTAAGGTAAAAGCTGTTTTCAGTTTCCTTTTAAAGACAGATTATTTTAAAATAATGATCTGGAGTCAAAAGCAAAGCGAACTCCCCTTTTGCTAATATTATTGCATTTCTTCCTGCAAAGTTAATCTGGATCCCATAGTAAAGGGGATGTCTGTCTTTATCATTTATCATGTAAAGCTCTCTATGCTGCCATGGGTTGATGTCAGGGCAGGAAGTCTGACTTTGTTACACCAGGTTTAGAAATGAATAGTTTCAGATAACAATACTAATTCACATTGTCTGAGGAAATTTTTAAATATTTTTAAATATGTAAAGTAAACCATGTCCAATCGGACGTCCTTTGAAATTGTTGCTGTTTTCTTCTCCTAATTTAAAAGAAAGTCAAATCCACACTTGCTTTTCAGTTTTTGTTACTGTTTTTTGATGAGAACGTCCAATTGTAAAAAGACGCAGCGTCCATTTTTCTATCGTCTACGGTGCCTTCATGAGAAGTTTGATGTTTCCGTTTCAGGAGCTGCTATGTTAAACTACAGGGAATCACACTCTGTGTGAGCCTCATGTCATTATTTAACCGTAACACAGAATATCTGCCTTCTATCTGTTGCATATGGTAGGGCCGGGGGGATTTACTATTAGGCAATACTTGGCAGTGACCTAGGGCCCCACGTTCTTGGGGGCCCCATTAAACTCTACTCTATGGTTAATACAGCTATTCCTTATTTGTGCACATTAATTATGTTTTTGATAAAAATCCTTTCACTAAAATGCCAGCAGAATGCTTATATTATTAAGTGTGTCTCAGCCCCCCCCTTCAGTGTCCACCATATTGGATCAGTCCATTTGCTGCACATGTTCAGAAAGGTCCAAACAGACAGCAGCAAACCATTTGAAAACAAACCATTCAAAGAGC